AAATGCTGTTTTATCGAAATCGATATAGCTCACATCTCTAAGGTCGCTAGAAACATCTGTTTTGTGAAGCATTTTTCGTGAAAGATTTGTACTTCAGCTTGACTATTTTACTTGAAACCGTTTGGTTAGAAGTTTAGCCTCTGAAATGGGGACAAAACGTCGTAACATCGAAGATGAGCTCTCACGCTTTGAAGCAGAGATCTCAAAGCCGCCAGTTCGAAACCTCTTTGTACCAAATCARGTGCGTCCGATAATCGCRGCAAATACGTACACCAACGTTCAGCAGAAATTGCAGCAGCATCAGCCGCGAATGACGGTGCCTCCGCCGCCAATACCACCACCGCCTACATTTATGTCCACATTTGTACCGACGGGCAGCGGCTCTTCCACATCGCCAGCGAAGCCAGCATCAGCCACCCCGGTTGTACTTAGCAGCGCCCCAAAGCTCTACCAATGCCGACAGTCGGTTCATGTTCCAACGGTGGCCACGGCGCCGGCAATCGATATCAACATCAATTCCATACAGTTTGATGTTACGCAGAAACTCAAGAAGCTCAAGGCAGAAAAGTCGGGACCCAATCCGATTGCAGAGGAAGCTATCAAAGCAGCGCGCGCCTCTTCGGCTCTGCAATCATTTCAAACCACAGAGCGGAAGAAAAAGGATCGTAAAACGGTGCGCATTGCTGGTGGCACTGTGTGGGAAGATTCTTCACTGGCAGATTGGCCGGATGATGATTTCCGCATCTTTTGTGGCGATCTTGGTAACGATGTCAACGATGAAGTACTCACGCGCACCTTTAACAAGTATCCATCATTTCAACGGGCACGTGTTGTACGAGACAAACGAACCGGCAAGAGCAAGGGATTCGGGTTCGTCAGCTTCCGGGAACCGGCCGACTTTATAAAAGCAATGAAAGAGATGGATGGCCGCTACGTGGGCAGTCGGCCAATTAAGCTGCGCAAAAGCACCTGGCGACAGCGTAGCCTGGATGTGGTCAAGAAAAAGGAGCGTGAAAAGCAATTGCTTCTGCAGGCCTTCAACTCTATGAGTTAAGTGCTCTACACCCACTATCAATTGAGAAGAAACACTTTTAGGCTAGTTTTGGTCGCATTTCGATGTAAATAAAATTTGTTTTTAGATTGTTCGGATGTGGCTGCTGCAGAATAAGCATAAATTAAAACAAATATTAAAATAAATATTTAGCAAACGAAATAAGTGATGTAATTATTTAGCCAGTAATCTATTACAATATTGAACTAGGCGTGTGCCACAAACAGCTAACAATGTACACAGCTTAG